TAAAAAATGATAGGTATACAGACTACAAACATCAAGTATAATGAAAACAGTCCATTGTGTGAATTCAAGAGAAATAGAAACTTCCCGAACATGTCTTTTTTTTTTTTTTTAAATGCAGTCTGACTTCTCCAGGACAGAATCCCATATGTGAGATTAATAACAACCCCCTTGTTCCGTTTTATAGTCCAGGGGCAACGTTACAGAAATTAAATAATTAACACTTTTATTTTGGTCCATAATTTCCAATGCAGGGTCTTAGGTTCCCTGCAAATACTAGTGAGACAGAACCAGTAGCTATTAGTTGTAAACGTTATTTTCAAAGTAAAAAAAAAGCTTTGTTATTGGATATTTGACAGGATCAAAAGTATCAAAAGATAAGAACATTTATTCGTCCCACAGCGACCGTAGGAAGAGCACCGAAAATATACAGAGATAAGTATCTGTAATGCATTTTAATTATGTTTATCATATCGCCTGATAGATGGAACTCCTACTGTGAAAACCACAGTGTAAAGTAACAACAATTCTGAAAAGCAGAGGATTCTGGTATTGAGGTTTTTTTTTACCACCGATTAACTTCCATCCATCCATTTACTTCCGCTTCATCCGTTGCCGGGTCGCGGGGGCAGTAGTAAAAGCAGATTAGCGATTAACTTATCAACAGGTATTGTGTTTTTACATGGTATGCATCACTTCTGTAAGGAACAGGTCCAGCAGGTTATGATCTCAATCAACTTCAGCTCAGAATGCATTTATTAGTGCAGTATATTTCTGACAAAGCATTCTGTCCATCGTATTTTGCCATCTGCAGCATTGCCCAGGCTTTCAATTATATTCTGCAACAGTGTGAAAAGACATGTGTGAAATGCCAACGTAGTGAGAAAAATCCCAAGCCTAACATTAAACGCTTCACTTTGAGGGCAGCGATTGTCGCCAAAACCTTTTGAAGAGACGAGGAAAGAGCGTCCGATAGCATCTGCGGAGGATTGACTGGAGCAGGAGCTGATCAGGACTGAAAGACGAGACGAGGGAGGAAGAGGAGGGATGACGAGGCCTTGATAACAACAACTCAAACCAAATCAGGGCAGAGCAAACTCACGGCGACACCGAGGCTGAGGCTCTGACAGTGACAGGAGAAGATGGATGGTTGTCTGAGCTATTGGGGCCGAGAGAAGTCCGAAGAATTCCAAAATTGAGTTAGTGGTCCAGAGCTTTTTGGGGTTTTTAAAAGTAAATGGAATTGAGTAACTTTTTCCCCTGATGTCTGCCAAACTATGCTAAGTGCACCAGTACATAACAATACAGTAGTTTGATGGGATAGCACTAGCGAATTTTGACAACACCAGCAAAGTTAAGCTGTCCTTGACCTGAGCTACCGCCTTTGCAAAGCTAGACTGCGAGATAACAGCGGTTCAATAAACTGATTTGTTGTAGATATTAATCTTCAGACCAACCGTTACACTGGACCACGAGAGGACCATTGACCAGTTCTATCACCGTACATGGCTTCATCTGTGGTTTGTTCCCGGCAATTCTGTATATTCTTTTTAGGAACTGACTAGTATGTGTACTATTTCTCATTGTATGTTTTTAATTGGGAAGTGCTTTGTGATTCTGGTTTGTAAAAGGCACTATATAAATAAACTTTACTTACTTAATACTTACTTACTAGTAAATGTTTTGGAGAAAAGTACGATTCAGTGTTGTGCATTGATCCATGGATTGGCAAAACCACACACTTTTGGACAAATGACTGAGGATATAGAGAAATTGTCAATTCTATTCAGTTCTATTCAATTGTGAGGTTAGAAACTTGTGTATCAAATATCAGAAAAAATAACACTGAAGACACTGGAAATAAGTGCATGGATCAATCATATTCCTCATTCCTAATGGAAACAAAATGGAAATACTATATTGTTGTAAATGTCTTATAGACCAACATTTAGACTTGTTATTCCTGGTGAAAGGTTACAAAAAAACTGCAGTCTTGACAAATCATTAAAAGGAAATGCTTTTCACACTCCCACAACAGGCCAAAGCCGTTTCAAACCTGGTCCCTGTGTGTGGGAGGCTGCTGTCCACCTGCCTCATATTTACAGTCTCACATACGGGCCGGCCATATGAGCAGACACTGAACACTGAGCAGGATTCTGACCACAATTTGACATAATAACAATGGACTGTATTGACAATGAAGCCAGATAGGAAAGAGCTCATGGACAAAGTTATAATGTGGACTGAGCTAGAGGAGTTTTGAGACACACTCGCAAATTTGGGGATTTTAACATCTGTGGTTTAGCGCAGATGTTTATATCTTTTTATATTTGTTGATATTTTCTTTGGTGAATCCTTGTATTGCTCTTTTTTGGATTTACAATCACATGCCTTCATTTATAAGGGACATTCAAACTTGTTTTGGGAACAGTTTTAGCAACACATCTGCCCCTATTACGGCGTGAAGCTAGCACTGCGGAAGAAATGCCCATATAAGGAAATTGGCTCCAGCTGACTTATGTTCAAATCTGCTTCTTCCACATTAACGCTATGCTTGCTTGTTTTTTATTTTACTATTATTTGATTGGGAGAGTGCATGTTAATGAACACACCTCTGAACCACCCCTGAACTACTGTACATGTTTTTAGTGGTAGGGGAAGCTGGAGCACCCTGTGGAAACCTACATGGACACGGGGAGAACATGCATCACCACACAGAAAGGCCTGGAGTGGGTCAAATGCAGAAGATACAGTTCCCTATATGGGGGCAATAAAGTGTACATTTACATTTACAGATTTCTGACCAGAATGTCATTTTTGGCTAACTTTTGTGCTCCCGCGTCAAACCATTCAGGGAAAACATTAAAATTGAATGAGCGCAGTTCATTAGTGTGCAATCTAAACTACGTGTAATCAGCAATGCCAAAAAGAGGAGTGGATGGTGGGGCATGAGGTTAATTATTTGCTCAAAAACAAACCACTGCAAAAGCACTGGATGTCATAACAAAGAAAGAGCAATAATAGAAACACACGCATTTGATCCTGATGAGTAATGTAATGGTGGGATTGTAGAAAGTTTTACAAAAGCTACAAATCACTGCTCATTACAGAGTTCGAGGAGTTGGTAACTACTTTGACTCTTCATTTCAGTGGGAACCCCAAACAAGATCTTGTAAAAACGGATAAAAAAGGGAGAGGAAAAGTATTATATCTGTGCCTGTTCTTTATTGTAGTTTTGGGAAATGTTGGGCCACATCAATGAGCATAAATATGAACGGACCAGGCTGAAAAGCAGTTTTTTAGACGCGAAAGACGGCCGCATACAAATGCATTGGGTAATTCTGTTTCCGGGTACACCCCCACCGGCAAGGAGTGAGATTGCAAGTATGTCAGAGCACGTGCTCATGGACCTTTTTAAGCCGGGACCCGCCCCCACTGGGCCACACGCAGAAGTGAATGAGAGCCATCTGGAAACAAGCACCTCACTCCGTTATCAAAAGGTTCTTTGATAACAGAGTGAGGCGTTTCACAATGAGAATCGCCTTGGACGGGACCATCCGCGGAAGCTCCAATGGCACCATGTCTGTCTTTTGGCAGGTTGACTGTACCTATAGTGCCACCCATCATACTGTAAACCCCCTCCTTTAGGCATCATTTGAATTCGGGCGTTCTGCTCTCCCAAAAATCCATCCGATGGGCGGGGGAGCGACTGAATTTTGCGTTGCATTATGGGTAACACTTGCCTTCGCAACTTCCGGTTCTCTCTGCCCGGCGCATTTTCTCTAAATGGTTGAGTGTTTTCGTCATTTTCTGTATGCAAATACATTCCCGTCTCTAACTAGTGGCATATCGCGCAAATCATCCGTCCAATTCACATTCTTCCCTCTTAGCTGAACTTCATTCTCATTGTTACCATCTGTCACTCGCACACACAGCCGTTTTTGTTCACTCTGCTCGTGTCATCTTCTTCTAAATCTTCATAAACACCATCCGCTCGTTGAACTAGCAACAACAATTCCTCCTTTCGTTTTCCCACACTGCAAATACCCTTTCGCTTCAACCTTTCACGCAATTCAGGCACTGTCAATCGTTTGTTGTTTTCGTGAGCCATATTCGCCATTGTATGAAATCAACCGGAAGTGAACTGGGCAACAAACGGTGTCATTTTTTGATCACAGCGCCGCTCAGTGGATGAAATTTTGGGAGAGCAGAACGCCCGAATTGGCTTTCCGGCCAATTTGCACGGATTTGTTATCAAAGAACCCGGGGTTATGCTAAGCAACCTTAAGAAAGCATTCAGCGGCAGCCACAAGACTTTTTAAATGTTGTTTGATATAACATATGGAAAGTATTAAAATCCAGTCAAAGGTACTTGGGGGGGGAAATGGACACTATTATAATGCATATGTTCAAAAATAAAAGAGGTAAAGAACTGCCCCTGGTTTACATCATACCATTTCAAATGCCAAATTCGTAATTTTTCCACTTTCACTTTCTAAAGAATTAAATATACTCAAGATCATGTTCAAGTCAAGTTTAAGTTGTGTTTCCTTGTTGATGCAGGAGGGTTTAAAGACACTGGTGATATTCGATATTCACCAACATTTATGGACATTGGTCATCTGCCCTTTATGGACCAATGACTCTGCCTTTTTTATCACTGCATTTCCTGAGTTTGAACGATTTGATTCTCTTATATGTGGTGGTAATGTAAAGGTATCCTCCAAGATATATACTGCTTTGATTTAGGGCTATACAAGAATAAATTAGGGTGAATTGAAGTCAAGGCAAATATTTAACAGATTTAAATAAAACTACATTAACAACATATTCGACAGCCTTCAACAGCCTGTGACTTTAAACCCATTGTGAAATTCTGGACAGAGCCGTCTTGAGTGTGCAGACTCTCTGAAGGCCCAGGATTTCCCCCGGGCTTCACCTCGACACGCCAATCAGACACTCATCTGAACATTGGATAAAAAGGGGACAGAACTGTGACGTACCTCGTAGTAGCTCCTGACGGCGTTACAGAAAGCCTCGTCTGCTACGATCTGCGTCTCCCCGCTGAGGAAAGAGGAGAAGCGCTCCTTCACGGCCTGGAGCTGCTGCTTGTTCACCTGCACAAAAGGAGACGCGAGCTGGGATTAGTCATGATCAGATTATTGTGTCGTTTGAAGCATTACTTTTACATCAAAACTCTGACAAACATGAGATTGTGGGGTTATTCCATTTTATTATCAGACGGATGATAGGATTTCACTGGTGGATTGAGTTTCTGTCCTACACCTCGGACATTTTTTTCTAAATGCTGTTAAAGACATTTTGGGATGTGATTTTTGCAAATACAGAACATCTTGAAAAAAGAAAAAAAACAGCCTAAATGCCCATTGCTGCCTGTACAGGAACCCCTTTCTTTATGACCTAGTAAGTAAGTAAGTAAGTAATCTTTATTTATAGCACCTTTCACAAACCAGAGTTACAAAACTCTTTATAATTGTTGTGGGGCTTTGTCAGTTGTCCCTGTTCCGACTGGGACTCGACCCAGGACCTTCTTACTGAGAATCGAGAGTGCTATCCACTCAGCCACTGTGATCTCTTTTGTAAACACTGTCTTGTAAATAAGCCGGCCAGAACCTAGAGAGGGACAGGAGGAAGGTCATCAGGAAGTCCAGCGCTGTCCTGGGCTGTCTCCTGGACACAGTGCAGCAGGTGGGGAACAGGAGGGTTCTGGACAAACTAACATCTCTGCTGCAACATGTATGTCACCCCCTGCAGGACACTCTTCAGGAACAGACTGATCCACCCTCGCTGTGAGAAGGAGAGGTTCTGCAGGTCTAGCCTTCCTGCTGCTGTTGGACTGTGTATTAAACAATGAAGACTACTGACCTGACCTCACACTGTGCATTAAAGCTGCACTAACTGACTTTATTTTTATATTCATTACGAAAGTGCTATCCATGTCCATGCAGTGCATTGGGATATACGTCCTTTTGAAGAAAAAGTAGCGCAGAGTTTTGATGAAACAAGGAAAAGATGTGTTTCGGGTCGCAGATTGTGACCAATCACAGCGGACCACTAGCCCCCACTTTCGTGAGAAATCTACAGGTCCCTCGTTAGCATAGACGGCTGAGTAAGCACAACAAGCCGAGGAGCTAACCTGAAACTTTGTGTGTCTTCGTCACCGGTTACTGCTTACACAGCGAGGCAGCTATCCAAAAGAAAGTCTCGTTCCTCTGCGCTTCCCGGTTCTATCGTTCTATGGTCACGCCATCCACGTGCAAATCCATGTCCATGTATTATCCATATTGGAAACGCTAGCTCCGTCCCAACAGTCAGTGTGTGTGAGGAGCGATAGCTTCATGGGTGCTGGGAAGGGAGCAGAAAGAGAGAGGCCAGCGAGTCCACGGCTTCAAATTCCTAAAGTCAGTTAGTGCAGCTTTAAGGTGCAATTATCTTATTTTGTGTTGTGTACTCCTCATTCCTTCAGTTTTGTAACTTGTGATGCAACACTGGCATTTACTCACTGTGGGACAAATGAAGGATCTCCTAATCTCAATATAGAGGACAACGTTTTTTAAAATGTATTTATTTGTATTCCCTTTTTCATGGTAATGCAACAAAATATCACAATCATCCAGAAAATACAACAGTAATACATTACATTGATCCAGCTGATCCGAAACTGTAACTTCCACCTGCGCAACATCTCCAAGCTCAGACACACTGTCTCGGGTCAGGAGCTGGAGATGATTGTAACAGCTTGCTTACATGTCTTTGTAAAACAGATCTGGCTCGTTTACAATTTGTTCAAAATTCTGCTGCGAGGCTTTTGACCCGCACCCGCAGGAGAGCCCACATTACTCCTATCTTGAAGTCCTTACACTGGCTCCCTGTCTCACACAGAATCAATTTTAAAATTCTAGTGTTGACATTCAGGGCTCTTCATGTTCAGGCGCCTGAACACACCCAGGGCCTCATCCACCCTTATGTTTCCAACAGGAGCCTGAGGTCCTCCACTCAGAACCTGTTGATGGTCCCCCGCACTCGCTTTAAAACCAGAGGAGACAGATCCTTCCAGGCAGTTGCTCCTCACCTTTGGAATGAGCTTCCTCAGTCTCTCCGCATCTTAGATACTGTTGATGATTTTAAGTCCCAACCATAGACTGTATATATTAATGGACAGAGTCACGCCTATCTCCGCCGTTCATAGGAGTTGGCCATGAAAAGTGCTTTCATGGAGCAATCCAAGATGGCCGCGAGTGGTCCCGCCCACAAGAAAATTGTGAAAAAACGCATCTGTGCACGCGTCAGCCGGCGCAGCTCCATTCATTTGAACGAGAGACTTCAAAAATTCACTGTGAGTAAACTAGTGGACCAAAAAATCCACCCCCCTCAGCATTGACACACATGTGGAACGGAGCTTTGGGCCAAGAGCCAGCTTTTGGTCCATCCTGTAAAGACCTTTTTGAAAGGTCTGCCAACGCTACATGTTAGCATTGGCTAATTCTTCTTCTGGGTCCACCCCCATCGGCCCGGGGTGGTATTGCAGCATGTCAGCGCACGTCAATTTGGCCACTTTTGAGCCGGGACCCGCCCCCACTGGTCCCAACTTAAGACACATTTGTTTATACAGGCTTTCTGCTCACTGTGTTTTTGTTTTTAAATATGACTTGTATGTGTATTTTATGCGTTTTAGCGTGTGAAGCGCTTTGTGATCCTGGTCTGTGAAAAGCGCTATACAAACAAACTTTACTTACTGTAAGTAACAGTAAGAACAGTAGTAGCATGAAGAAACAAAAAATCGTATAAACTCTCGCCCCATAAAGAAAAACACATTAAGAAAGTCACAATTTAGATGGCCTAACCGGTAATCAAAAATACCAACCCGCTAGCTCAAAGAGGCCCAATAGGGAAGTGCTCATGGAAGTTAGCTCCTGCTCCTATTGACTTACACAGAAAAGAAAACTCTTCTAGCTCAGTCACACTCACCATGTTGTGCTTATAATATCTTTTTTACGGGATAGGTATGCATATTTTTCACTCCCTCTGCACCTATGTGTTTGTTATTACGTTTCCTGTGTTGGATTCTCTGGTCTGTTGTTGGCAAATCAACAACTTTGTAAAGTCATCAGAGACGACGGCTGTTGGGATTTAGGCCCATTTAAAAATAAATGGAACCGAATTGAATAATGTGGAATCAAAAATGTACAATGTGCAGTGATTATGCAGAGGTTCCACAGGCAGCCGGCTCTCGAGTGACTCACAGGAGAAATGAAACAGCAGTTCCATTCGGTGTGAGCTGTTGGAGCGGATAAAACTGCCTTTTTGTTTTATTCACAACCTTTTTTTTATTTTTATCATTGAAAAGTTTGCATTATGGTCTTTTTGAACCCGGTGGTATATCTGCAAAAGTTATATTAGTGTGAGTTGCAATCTGTTCATGTAGCAGATTAGCCGGTTCTTTGTCGTTTTGATCAAAATGAGCTAAAAGCAAAAGCGAAAACCATAGAGGACCGGCATAACACTAGGAGAAAGACAGGAGAGGACCAACACAACACTAGGAGAAAGACAGGAGAGGACCAGCACAACACTAGGAGAAAGAGAGGAGAGGATCAGCACAACACTAGGAGAAAGACAGGAGAGGACCAACACAACACTAGGAGAAAGACAGGAGAGGACCAGCACAACACTAGGAGAAAGGAGAGGACCGGGATACACTAGGAGAAAGACAGGAGAGGATCAGCACAACACTAGGAGGAAGACAGGAGAGGACCAGCACAACACTAGGAGAAAGACAGGAGAGGATCAGCACAACACTATGAGAAAGACAAGAGAGGACCGGCATAACACTAGGAGAAAGACAGGAGAGGACCAGCACAACACTAGGAGGAAGACAGGAGAGGACCAGCATAACACTAGGAGAAAGACAGGAGAGGACCAGCACAACACTAGGAGAAAGACAGGAGAGGACCGGCATAACACTAGGAGAAAGACAGGAGAGGACCGGCATAACACTAGGAGAAAGACAGGAGAGGACCAGCATAACACTAGGAGAAAGACAGGAGAGGATCAGCACAACACTAGGAGAAAGACAGGAGAGGACCGGCATAACACTAGGAGAAAGACAGGAGAGGATCAGCACAACACTAGAAGGAAGACAGGAGAGGACCAGCACAACACTAGGAGAAAGACAGGAGAGGATCAGCACAACACTAGGAGGAAGACAGGAGAGGACCAGCACAACACTAGGAGAAAGACAGGAGAGGACCGGCACAACACTAGGAGAAAGACAGGAGAGGACCAGCATAACACTAGGAGAGAGACAGGAGAGGATCAGCACAACACTAGGAGAAAGACAGGAGAGGACCAGCACAACACTAGGAGGAAGACAGGAGAGGACCGGCATAACACTAGGAGATAGACAGGAGAGGACCAGCATAACACTAGGAGTAAGACAGGAGAGGACCGGCATAACACTAGGAGAAAGACAGGAGAGGACCAACACAACACTAGGAGAGAGACAGGAGAGGATCAGCATAACACTAGGAGTAAGACAGGAGAGGACCAGCACAACACTAGGAGTAAGACAGGAGAGGACCAGCACAACACTAGGAGAGAGACAGGAGAGGATCAGCATAACACTAGGAGTAAGACAGGAGAGGACCAGCATAACACTAGGAGAAAGACAGGAGAGGACCAACACAACACTAGGAGAGAGACAGGAGAGGATCAGCATAACACTAGGAGTAAGACAGGAGAGGACCAGCATAACACTAGGAGTAAGACAGGAGAGGACCAGCATAACACTAGGAGTAAGACAGGAGAGGACCAGCACAACACTAGGAGAGAGACAGGAGAGGATCAGCATAACACTAGGAGTAAGACAGGAGAGGACCAGCATAACACTAGGAGTAAGACAGGAGAGGACCGGCATAACACTAGGACTAAGACAGGAGAGGATCAGCACAACACTACGAGAAAGACAGGAGAGGACCAGCACAACACTAGGAGGAAGACAGAAGAGGACCAGCACAACACTAGGAGGAAGACAGGAGAGGACCGGCATAACACTAGGAGAAAGACAGGAGAGGACCAGCATAACACTAGGAGAAAGACAGGAGAGGACCGGCATAACACTAGGAGAAAGACAGGAGAGGACCGGCATAACACTAGGAGTAAGACAGGAGAGGACTGGCATAACACTAGGAGAAAGACAGGAGAGGACCAACACAACACTAGGAGAGAGACAGGAGAGGATCAGCACAACACTAGGAGAAAGACAGGAGTGGACCGGCACAACACTAGGAGGAAGACAGGAGAGGACCAGCACAACACTAGGAGGAAGACAGGAGAAGACCAGCATAACACTAGGAGAAAGACAGGAGAGGACCAGCATAACACTAGGAGAAAGACAGGAGAGGACCAGAAGAACACTAGGAGTAAGACAGGAGAGGACCAGAAGAACACTAGGAGAGAGACAGGATAGGACCGGCACAACACTAGGAGGAAAACAGGAGAGGACCGGCACAACACTAGGAGAAAGACAGGAGAGGGCTGGCACAACACTCTTCACAAAATAAGGGAGTGGAACAAAAGAAAAATAGTGGCCTTTAAAAAAAAAAAAAAAAACCCGTCGACACTGGACTAAAATGCCAGAGACGAATTGACAGATGTTCCGTATCAAACTTGTGATGTATGAATGTCTGAAGTGTGAATATGTAAAAGTCCGTGGAGCTGAGAGTTCCAGATTAAAAGCCTTGTTGGTGACAGCCGCACCTGTCCGGACGCTCAGAGATGGATCATAAAAGACAAGAACAGGGCTCGCTCTTTATTCATGTAATTTGCTGAATAATTTGCTGAAGATTTATTGCTCCTGGAGAGTATTACAGGCCTATATTTTGGTCCCTAAAGCTAAATTTAGGAAACATTGACAGCTATCTTATGTCTGTATATTTTGTGTACTCATTTATGTAGAATGATTAATATTATTATTCTATTTTTGATGATACTGGACACAGGGATTTCTCCTACGCGGATCAATTAAGTATCTATCTATCTACTGTGCGCTACAACACTGACATTTACCCACGTTTACAGGTGCTATTATCTTATCTCATGAATACAATCAGATCCATATAAAATTGTGTTGGTTGTTAAGCTTTTTGCTAGTTGTTGGAAAGTCTGTTATTGAGTTATAGATTGTCAAGTTAGCTGGAGTACTTAATTTTCCTAATTCAATGCACAGATTGTATACAGATGGACAATGCTAGCCTGCTAGCTCAAAGAAGCCCAACAGGGAAGTGCCCATGGACAAAGATGTGCTCCAACTGTCTTCCATTGAAAAGTAAACTCCCAAGTAATAGTTTGTGTCACACTCACCATTTTGGGATTAAAATATATGTGGTTTAGCATAGTCTATGATCCTGGTGTGGTATTTTGATATTGTTGATTTGCAAATCTAAATATAAGCCATATAAGGATTGTCTGCTCCTGTTACGGCGCAAAGTTTACAGCCTCACACTATGGTGATGTCAGTCCACACTTTATATACTGTCTATGGTTCTATCACTAGTTTTCACATGGTTGTATGTTTCAGATTGTGACTTTTTGTGTAAAAGATCATTTCAAGATAAAGACGGGATGTTGGGGACAGATTTGTTCAAAAACTCCTTTTAGGGCAGCGTCTCAGCTGCTCCTGAGACAAGAGAGATCAGTCAAATGTAGGTAATGATTTGAACACTTATTGAATTATAGAACTTCCTCCATATCCGTGACCGATATGACTGATGGAAAACCATACTTCTATAAAAGGGCACAAACAGAGGAAGATATACAATTGACTTATAGAAAGATAGATAGATACCATCTTGATCTCATGTAGCATAAACTGAGGTGTCCAGCAGCAGAAACACATCCATCCACACTAGAGCCCTGCACGGGCCTATTATCTGGGCCCGAGCCAGTGTTGCCAACTCCTCAGTAAGGAAAGTAGCTATTGGCTGTGCCAAAAGTCGCTAGAAGTCGCTAAATGACGTCATCGCCTAATTTGCATAATTGGCAATTTGCAAATAACTGTAACGGACGCTGTAGGAGAGAGGAATAACGTTGTGGGAGAGACAAAAGTGAGTAAAAAACACCCTAAATATGTTTAGAACTACAAATGTACAAAAATAATTTCAACATTAACAACATTTAATGATTTTAATGCTTTGTCTAGATCTGTCGCTAGTCGCTTTTTTGAAAAAAAGTCGCTATAGGGTCTGAAAAGTCGCTAAATCTAGCGACAAAGTCGCTAAGTTGGCAACACTGGCCCGAGCCCGGCCCTGGCCCGAGGGGGTGGCGCCCCAGCCCGGTCCGGCCCGATATGGTTTCTGAATTTTCAGGCCCAAAACCCGCATCAAGCCCGCCTTTTTTTTTTTTTTGTAACCTCCCATAACAATGTTTTAGCGTAGTATATAGTGCCGCGCACTGATATGAACGCAGACTTAGCTAGAGGGCGGAGTTATACATGGTAGTGATGTGTTGCAATGAGTTCTGTGTGTGCGGAGTGGTGCAGAGTGAACGGCCGCATCTGTATGATGCCCCCGATGCTGCAACACATCTGCACATTACATAAGTAATGCTATGTGCCGTCAATGACAACACTACACAGAACAACAAACACTACAGCGTGATAGAGCGCTATATTCAGTGGGTGCGTTCGTAAATGTATTCTGCCGCTCTGAAAATGAAGAGCCCGAGCCCGGCCCGTGTCCGAGGTCATTATGCAGTCATCGGCCGAAGCCCGGCCCTCGGGCTGTCGGGCCGTCGGGGCCCTCGGGCCAAGGGCTCAAGTGCAGGGCTCTACTCCACACAAACAAAACAAATACACAATGTGATAAGGTGCAGCAGGGTCACAGCAGCAGAGGTGGTGCAGCAGGGTCACAGCAGCAGAGGTGGTGCAGCAGGGTCACAGCAGCAGAGGTGGTGCAGCAGGGTCACAGCAGCAGAGG